TACCCATGATAGAGGGAAGAACAAGGCCAGTATTCCCAAGTTGGAGTTTCTGAGTGGCGAGTCTTGAAGCTTAGCCCTGAAGAGGGTGGTGTCAAAGAACCCAGTCTGATTTCTAGGGGTGAGCAAACTTGGTTTAACCTTTCCTTCTCCTCTTAGACACACTCAGTGAGAATCTGGAGTCCTGGCTGTGTTTATTCACTGCCCTTGGAGCAAGGGTGCATTGAAAAATTGTCACTTGCTTTTAAGCTTATCAGTTATGAACACTCTGTCTCATGAAGGCTGGAGCTCCAGCCAAGTCCTTCCCGGAGTCCTCCGGGGTGGATGGCCTAGCTTGGAGCTAGGAGGCCCCTGGAGACAAGTCAGTCCCGGTGTGACCTGAGACTGCTGGCCTCGGCCTTTCGGACGGCATTGATTGGCGATGCCTCCTCCCTTGCCTTTCCCCTTCCTCTGCCTTTTACTGTTTCATAACTGTAAAGATCTTTACTGTCAGCCCTGAAGACTGCGTGGTAGGATCAGGGCGCTGTGTCGGTACCTGTCATCATGAGTGCTGCCTGCTTACTTGGGGCATAGCACGAGTGTAGCAGTAAGGTGTAGCAGTAGCAGTAAGGGCGTGGCAGTAAGGGTGTAGTAGTAAGGGCGTGGCGGTAAGGGTGTGGCCATAAGGGTGTAGCAGTAAGGTGGGGCAGTAAGTGTGTGGTGGTATGGTGTGGTGGTAAGGTGTGGCATTTAGGGTGTGACAGTAAGGGTGTGGTAGTAAGGGCATGGCTGTAAGGGTGTGGTAGTAAGGGTGTAGCGGTAAGGTGTGGCGTAAGGGTGTGGCAGTAAGGGTGTAGCGGCCCCACGAGAGAGGAAGGCAAGCTCTTCCCAGGTAATGGGCCTGTGTCACAGAGTACAGTAAGAGTAGAGGCAGGATCCCCCTCATTTGTCACCATCATGTGAAACTGCCAGGAGGGAGAGGTTAGAAACTGGCTCCTGCAGATCTGTCAAATCTTTTTTTTTAAAGGTTTATTTATTTATTTCTTCAGAGAGAGAGAGAGAGAGATGGAGACAGGCTCCCCAACAGGATCCCCATGCTGTGATCCTCCGCCAGTCCCAGCTGGCCCAGGTCATAGGCATGCCTGGCATGCTCAGAGTGAGGGAGAGCCTGTGAGCACTAAGCCAGGGCCCGTGTGGGTCAGCTGCGGTCCTGCTGCACCACCTCCTGGCCCCCGAGCCTTCTAGTCTTTGGGAAGCCTCTGCCCTGGACTAGACACTGTCGTAGGTGCTGGGGGACAGCAGTGGACCATGCAGAC